ACATCCAGTATTAGTGGTATCCGCATATTATTGTCAAGGCTCTACAGCCTCTCTAATGGCATTTCCCTCTACGAAGGAAACTTCTTGAAGATGTTACCACAGTTATTCTCAAGTAAAGTTTGAATTGTAAATACCAGTCTTCACATAACCATACCAGGAAAAACACAACAGGGAAATTTAGTTTCTGTTCATCTCTGTAGCACAGCCACAAATTTGTAGCTCATTTCTACAGCAGAGTCTGCTGAGAGCTCTTGAAACTCTTAGATTCGTTTACTGAAGTAGAACAGAAATGGGTGTTTATAATAATTAAACATTTTACCATCTAAAGTTTTTTTTTTAAACAGCCTGAGTAGTTCTGAATGTGGCAATTTATGCATTAAAATGAGAGGATGAAAATGTACTATTTGTCAATTCATACTTTGAGCAGTCACAAACATGTTCAAGTCACTCTAATAATACATTACCTCTCCACTCAAAAGCTAAGCCTTCCTTAAACAGTTTTAGAAGTTACCAAACCCAGATTTAAACCCAAGCTAGTACTGTGCTGTTAAAACAAACACCCCCCATCCCCAAACAGGTAAGAGTTTATACGTGGCAGTAAGTGATACAAACTCCCCAGCTGCAGCGATCACACAGCCTTGCAGGGGGCAGCCCTGAGGCAGGGGAAGGGGCTGAGCACCCCCCAGGAGGCAAGAAGTAGAGGCTCGCACAGGAGCCGCCACAGCCTCAGTCTCATCAGCCGGTAATGTACCTTTGCAGGACATCACGAAAAGAAGCAGAGTTTGAGATTTTCCTTCCCAAGGAAGTATCTGGCTCCTACCCATAGCTGCAGACCTCTTGGGTGCGTGTTCCCAGCACCGGGGGTTCTTCATTGCCCCTCCTTCCTGCACTTGGGGTATGGACAGACCTATAATACTAGATGCATAATTGGGTTTTTTTCTTCCTGACTGGGTGCCTGAACTGGCTCCTCAAGGCCAAGTGAGCACCAGCCCACAGAGACACAAGGGCAAAGGGAGAGAGGGCAGGGCTGCAGGAGTGGCAGCCACGGCCTGACTTACCGCAGACGTGCTAAACCACGTATTTAAAGCCTCTGTGAATGCATCTGTTACTGAAGGGACAAGAAATAAATTCAAAGTTAATATGCAAAATGAATACCAGGGCAAGTTAAAAGATCAACTCAAATGCAGTGGTGCAAATTTCAGAGCTTAAAGTAGTCAAAGGTTAACGGAAGATAGCTTTCCTTGGCACTTCTTGCACTTACTGTAAATGGCTGATTTCACCATTTCCTCTGTACTGCCACTTTTCCTTTCTCATTTGAACTTAAAAAAGAGGAAAATAGTTATGAAGTCACAGGAATGACTGGAGAGGAGAAAAGAACTTTAGCCTGGAGAAGAGAAGGTTCCAGGGAGACTTTATAACACCCTTCCAGTACTTAAACGGGGCCTACAGGAAAGATGGGGAGGGACTCTTTAACAGGGAGTGTAGTCATAGGACAAGGGGTAACAGTTTGAAACTGAAAGACAGTAGATTTAGATTAGATATTACGAAAAAATTCTTTACTGTGAGGGTGGTGAGGCACTGGCACAGGTTGCCCAGAGAAGCTGTGGATGCCCCATCCCTGGAAGTGTTCAAGGCCAGGTTGGATGGGGCTTTGAGCAACCTGGTCTAGTGGAAGGTGTCCCTGCCCATGGCAGGGGGGGTGGAACTAGATGATCTTTAAGGTCACTTCCAACCCAAACCATTCTATGATTCTATTCTACGAACTACCAGGGGATTGGGGGAGCGCAGTAGTATAGAAAGACCAAGCTTGCTTTTGTGACTAGCCTGCAGTTTGACATGTTTCCAACACCACTAGTGCACACACATCTGTAACAACAGAAAAAACTCGGTACAGCGTGGCATTCTCGGCAGCCACAACGTTCATTGCCATCAAGTACTCTAGATGCCAAGAGGGTTTCCATCTGGTATTAATCCAGTGCAACAGTAGCTCCTGCAAGGTAGAAATTGGGTTTTTAGGATTTTTAAATTCAAAGGAGCCTTGGTAAAGGTATTTAAGCATAGAAATTCCCTGGACAAACCCTGACAGCTCAAGTGTGAAAGTATTATCAGAGCCAGCTGTTAATATTGACAGCTCCAAGATAACGCTTGCAACAAACAGGTTTTTGCTCAGGCAGAGTTTTGTGAGAGATTCCTGCTGGGCTAGAAACAGCACAGCAGCATTGCTTAATCTCGTTTAACCCTTCAACAGCAGCCTCTCAACTTCACCCCAGATGGGCTGGCTGCATTTTGACAGAAGTCATTGCCAGCAAGTCCTGATTTTGTTCACAGCTATCCCATTTCAAATGAGCTCATAAGAAGAAACTTTAAGTTTTGTGCAGAAATGAATTGGGACCTCTTGGAAAAAAAAAAAACCAAAACAGAAAACAAACCCAAACAAACCCAACAGCTGAATCACCTCCCAGTAACTTCAGCTTTGCAGGGAAAGTGGGAGATGCTGGGGCAGGTTTTACCAAGAGGCTCGGGCTGGGCTGCACAGCCTCAAATTAACCTAACAGCTCACTCCAGCTCTTTCCTCCATTTGGCCAGGCAGCCTGTTCTCCATCCCATCTCACCCTCACACTGGCTCTGACCACACATTAGGACAGTCCACGTTGCTAATCTGGCAAAGAAATGCTCTCTCTTTGGCTGGGTTAGCTTTCTGGTAGTTGCAAGCTGAATCAGCCTTCTGCAGGGACAGATCAGCACCAGGAGTCCAGAGCAGGACCTTCCTCTGGTTACAGCAAGATATTTCATCAGCTTACACTGCATCGTGTCACTTCACACTTGCTCTACTGGGAGGAATGGAAGCACAGCTTTATTCTCCCTGTAATCAGCTAAGCACAATTATTTTTTTTTTTTAAACCAGAAAAGCTGAAGTTACTTTCAGTTGGATCTGCAGTAGTTAAGCTATGAGCCCCTGCCTTACAAGCTAAAACCTAACACCAAGTTTCTCCCCAAGTTTACCCAAAGAGTTTGAAAACTACATCAAAGGGATCCCCAAGAGATACTTCAGAAAAATAAACATAAGGCCAGTTGACATTGTTAGCTATATCAGACTTCACACCTCACCAGAAAGGGGAAAAAACCCAAACCAACAAACAAAACCAAAACAAACCACAAAACCAAAACAACTCTTCACAGTGTTCCCCAACACAAAGAAATCCTATAGGATGTTACCCTCAGCTAACTACCGGATTCCGAGTATTCCTTGCACCACCATGGCAGAAGAGTCCTTCTCACCCCTACAGTAAGTACACAAGAATAAGACAGTGACTCTTCAGCAAGCATTGTCTTATCCTAGGAAAGGAGAGAACAACCTCAATACCAGTAACTGGTATGAAAGTATATCAGTATGTCACATTTAGCCCAGCTTCATGTGCTTAGACTTAACTTTCCAAGATTACCAATTTTATACAATTTGATAGAGATAAACCAAAAGAATAATGGAGGAAGAAGGAACAAAATTACTAGTTTCCTCCATCCAGTTCTGTCTTCCCTCCAACACCACTTTTTTCTTTTTTTTTTTTAAAACTTTTCCCCCCTCCTTTAAAAAAAAAAAACAAAAAAACATTCCCATTATTCTAAAAAAAAAAAAAAAATATCAAAAAACAAACCAACCATCATTTTTAGACTAAGTGACCTGTAAAATAGCCTGGAAAAAGCAAATACGTATGACAGGCTTCTTCTCATTAAATATGACACTGATCGAGTATTCCTGAATTTTAAAAAATTGCAATGCAAAATATTTGAGAGAAGGATCTAGGCCAAGACATTTAATTATAAAAGTTACCAAAATTCAAGCTGTTTATTATACAGTAATTAGAAGATTGCACACAAGTTCAGCAGTGAGAATGTCAAATATAAATTTCACAATTTCCTATTAGATGACAGACATCCAAAAATCCTGTATCAAACTGCTTTGAAGATCTTAAAACTAGTTCCCTAGCAGAGAAAGGTGTTCCAATCAAGAGTTTAAAAACCCCAACCAAACCCAACCCACAAAACTGGCTAAGAGCCACTGCTCTTACTGAGTTGAACCAGACTTGGACTTAAATGCAGTATTTTTAGATGAAATGAGAGCAAGCAGGTATTTATTGCACAAGAAGAGAATGTTATGTTTCTGGCAGCATACTAAGACAACTCAGTGCTTTTTTGTATACCAGACTATAAAATTACCACATATCAGAACAGCTGAACTAAAATTGATACCAATCTTGGAACATTAGTTATAAATGCAAGAGAAACTGCTATTAAAACCTGCATCAAATGTTGCAGCCTAACTCCATAACTGTTATAATTTCCTTAACTTCAGATTTTTCTTCTCTCAAAAGTTTTCAAAGCAGACCAAAAGCTCCTAGTGTAATATTAAACTGATCAGATCATTATGTGTGTCAGACTAGAACAAATAAACATTAAACCACATCAGATTAATTGCACTCTAAGTTCCAGGTGCATTTCTAAATTTTTTTTTTTTTAATTAAATGTTGATAATTTTAAGATACCAACAATAATGCAGGATTCAATAAATACAACCATTTTATCTCACACTTTATTTTGAATAGCTCAAAAACATATCTACCCCTTATATACTCTTCTATCCAATGTCAGATAACAAAGCAAGGTCATGCAGATTATCTGTTGAAACTAGTTTTTCCTACAAGGGCAGAACTTGAAGTATATACTTGGAAAGGTACTCAACCCTGAAGGACTTTCTGACTACAAACATTTAAAAACTTCTCTTCTAAAAAGGACGTGAAGCTGCAAAGAGGCCAGTGTCAGGGTTTTTTATTTTTTCTATCCAGCTGATGCCAGGAGCAGGTTTGCTGCTGCCTCCACAGGAAAACAGAAATCTTTGGAATGGGAAACACAGATGTTATGTATCAGTATATTAATATTTTCAGAAGCCCTTGTGAGAAGAGTTCAAAAAATAAAGCCAAAATTGATTAGCTGCAAGTTTTTACCTCAGATTGCAGGTGCTGGATCACAACTGTTAATGCTTCAAACTTCTGGTTACTGCTTGTCAGGAATCTTTTCAGCTGAAGGATAATTCCACTTTGGGTCTCACATTTTGTTTTGTACTGTGTCAACTCGGCTGTTTTTGTGCCAGGCGAATGCACATCTGTGGAGGCTTGAGTCTGTATGCATGAGCTCTTGGGACTCCGCTGCTTGCCCTTGTCAACTAAAACAACAACAATAACTAATTAACATGCATTTTATGTTGACGTCTCACCACAACTTAAAAGACAGGTGCAAAAGAAAGTCATTATAAATTCTTATAAAAACCTCCTGAAATACTAACTAGGAGAAACGGTTATTTCAGTAGCACTGCAGAGCAGACACGATCATCTGCCAGGTTAATTTCTAGCACCATAATCTTGCATACAATGTTTTGCACTTCATCCTCACCTTCATGTATTCTGTGGCTCACTTTTCAGCATACTCTTCACACTGTGCTTTGAATAAATATTTTCATAAAATGCAAGATCTCTGTCATCCTACCTATCCAGTAACTTATTTCTAACATAAGAGTCGAACACTTTTGTTTGCAACACGGATTTCACATTTCCTGCACTCTAACATACTGCTGAATACAAAACCATTTTCCCTACATTTACTTCATCTTTTTCTTCAAGATATTCACTGCAAAAAACTCTCCTCTCTGCAGCTCAGGTTTGAGCTTTATTAACTAGAGGTCTTGCAGCATTTCTTAGTGTCAGCAATTTCAGTCACTAGGATGAGACTTTAAAAAATGCTCTAAAATGAAATATATTTCAAGTTCGCCCTGCCACTATTCACAGTCCAAGCATTATATTGTTGATTTAATACTCCTAGTTATGTTGCAACCTCAATCCCTTCACAGCACACAATCATCTCATGTCAGAGGAAACCACATTACATAATGCAGCGCTTGACTCGTAAACACCACGGAGGTTACAGGTTTCTCTGCTGCCTTCAGACTGGAAAGGGACTACACTACTGCTGTGTAGATAGGGCCAGTCTTCCCCATTTGATTACACAGGGAACGAGCAAACACTTCTGCAATAAAAGGCTGATGCAATACATAAATATCCCTTGACAATTTAATGAAGACATCTAAGTAGATTACTTTGTACAGTTTCAACTTAACAAGATTTCTTCAAGATAAAGTGAAAAAACTGGAGAGGTGAGATTTGAGAAAAGAAAAATAGGAACATGTGGAAAAAATGGGGGACAAACTAACCAACTAGAAGTAGTTGCTCATAAATCCCTTCTGAAGCCCAAGCACCTGGTTTGAAGGTTGTCAAGTGACTCTGGAATAGTCTGAGCAGTATAAGGTTCAATCACACAACTGGAGACAGTATTAATAACAAAAGCTTTGATTCTCAGGTAATGTTAGTCTGAATGACACGTCAACTATTGCATTAATACATCAGTCTTGCACAGCCTTCACTTGTTTTCAAAGCATTTGAAAATATGTTTCCTGTTCAAAATACTTGTGTCCTCTGTGCCTCTCTTACTGAGCCTGGTAAAAAGTGGCTCCTGAGCCTATTAATTTTCCAAATAAATCCTCTCTAGGCAAGATTTTCTGTCATCTCTCATAGTTAGAGAATTGTCAGCACATTGCTTTATCATGTTCAGATGCTCTTGTATTCTTGGAGATTTCACTACACTTCTGCTCAGAGATGCTGACTGTTAGAGGGTATATTTTCAATTAGAAACATACCATCTTGCAGTTTAATAGCAGAGCTGTTAAAAGGTATATCAATGTGATAACCCAAATCAAAACACAAACCTGTAGGGGAAAGAAAGATCAAGCTTGGCTGCCAGTTCTGGTTAGCTTATTTTTACCACCATTTTAACTAATGTGACCACTTTTTTTCTTGCCATGCAGACATAACTATGTCCTTTGAGTAGACCTCTTCAAATGAATGACAGTTCACATTTGAGAGCAACCATGTCAGATTTCCAGCAATCTTATGGAGAATGCTGTGTTCAGGAAAATACTGGTTACCCTCTGAAGCTCCTTCAAAAAAAAAAAAAAAAAAAAAAAAAAAAAAAAAAAAATCACAAGACACAATCAAGAAGAGAAGAAAAAAAGAGCAGGGACTAGAGAATAAACATGTACAGTCAGTCCTTCCCTGCCCTACTGGCTCACATACTCCTCTTCTCTCATATATTCCACCTCTCTACCTGAATGCTCCACTTACAATAAATAGAAAACTAGAGCACTCTTCCTGATTTGAGAGTACTGGGTAAATTCACTGATACAGATGCTAATGTCATCATTTAATTAACTATATGAAATGCCTTCTACATCCATTTGTAGGACCCTGACAGAGCTGCATTAAACCTGAAAAAATGTTTGCAAACAATTTTTATTCTGGGAAAAAATGACATCACATACTGTTACCTAATGAAGTTATTTCATTTAAATGCAGCGATACAACAGCTAACCACAAATGACACGAGACTCCAGATATCCACTGTTTGCAGAGTTCAGTGAGCCTTTATCAGGTTGCCAGTTTCACACTATTGCTTTTATCGTGATGCCCAGACGACCAAGTCTTTTCCTAGAAGCTCATTCAAACTTCCAACCAAGCCAAGCCTGTATACTATACTAAAAAAAGCTGAACAAAAACCATGCACTAGAGAAACTCAGTGACATTCCTGTTGGCAATTTTATCATAGACATGTGCTATACACAGCCACTTCAAATGTTGAAAAGCATTTCTCTGCTAGCATGAACCCTCTGTAGCATGAACTGCCTCTACAGATTAACACCAGCGACACTCCAATGCTTATTTATGGCTTACGTACCTCTGGGCAATGACAGATTGTTTCCAGATTTGTATAGAAGGCATGCTGTGATGTCAAAACAAAAGCCATGTTTTCATTAAAACAAAAGCATCATGAGTCTAATTACTGATACAACACACCAGTGATGGACTCTAAATTAAAGACAGTATTGGTTACCAGCCCAAGTCCTCCTCACTTTGGCCTTTTTACTTGCCACCTTTACACAGTCAGACTTGTAAAGGAGAACAATTTCCACGCTTAAGTTAGGTTCTGGATTCCTCTCCAACAGGCTCAAAAACACTGCACCCAATCTAGTTGAAACGCTCAATTTCTGAAAACTAGAAATCAGATTCTCAAGTACCGCATGTAGCACAGTAACCGGACAGAATCACTATTTAAGGTCCTATCCTTCTTCATATCAGTTAAAAAAACCAACCAAACAAAAAACAAACAAACAAAAACCCCAGTGATTTTGCAAAGACTAAGCCTTTCGATCACTGAATCATTCCCAGAAGATTCAGTATTTTGCTGGCAAAAAGAATACCCCATGACTTTGGAAAAGGTCCAAAAATCCTCCTACTCCCTCTACAGTCGCTACCTGGACAGCAGCAGCGAACTCCAGTTCTTTGGGGAGAATATTAGACTCATCCCAAGCTTTTCCATAAAGCAAACTGATTCCCATACATAGCTTCCCTAGTTAACAGGCATTCAAAAGCAAGAAACACACTGTCTGTACATCAGGGTGTGTTCCATAAAGTTATGTTTAAGTGCTGTGGTATTGCCCAGTACTTGAAATTGTACTTGGCTGGCTATCTCAGAACTTGCCTGGTACCGTTGGTTTCCTGAGCCTCTCCATCTTGTGCACTGTTGCTGGATTACCAGATGAAACATCTCTCACCCACTTTTTGGTTTGCAGAGCCAAATCAAAGCCTTCCTTTGCTTATCATATACTAGGAAGGTCTATGTAGTAATGTCTATACTAGCTAGAAATTATTTTCTTTAAGCAAGAGATTAAATTTCTAAAAAAATTACATTTCTTAACAGCATTCCAAATAGCCTAAACAAACTACTTGACAAGCACAAGTAGGAACAACCTCACTTCTCTCCCCACACTTTTGCAGTCACCATTGTCTTACCCCTAAGCACCTTCTTTTCACATTCCTCATCCAAACTGTTAACTTCCACAGGTTTTTCAAAACCCATGTGTGTCTTGTGTAAGCATTTTTCAAAGAAAAATCCTCGCTCAACATTTTCTCTTGTAGGAAGATGCAGGCTGGTAAAAACTTTCTGCCTCTCCTCCATTTTCTGGAAAGCCTTGTCTACACATGTTAAATTAGTGCTCACTTCTTTGATCAGTAAGACCAGATCAGCCTGAGTATTTAATCGAGCTTCCATTTCTTCTCTTACTCGCTGGATTTCCTCAAGCACAGTTCTTATATCCAAGTGACTGGACTTCACCTCCGCTTTGAGATCTTCTTTCACCTGTTGTTGGCTCCTCTGAAGTGCTAAGACTGTTCTGATTTCCTTTTGAGATATTTCTACATCATGCTTTAGTTCCTTCTGTCCAGCCTGCATTGCCTCCTGGCTAGCTTTCACTTCTGCCAACAGAGCAGCGAGGCACTCCATCCTGATTTCACAGGAGTCGCAGGACCTCTTCCAGTGTCACAGCTTCCAAGCAGTCAGGGACATTTGTGAGCTGATAGCAGGTTTCCTTGGATAGCGAGAGAGCTAGCATATAGCCCTCAGCGTGGTATCCTACCTCAATTTAGTGTGCTGCAGTGAAGGTACTAGGTAAAAGTCTAGTACAAGACAAGACAAAGGCACTAAATAAAATAGTTCAATAAGCAGGGCTCTAGAGCCAGAGCTCCTTCTCAGGGCTCAGCCAGAGCACTAATCAGTTTAATTGGCAGATTATGCCACACCTGAATTTTTTAAAATCTTTTGCTGACATCATTGTACATGGGACGTCACCCCAGAAGCCACTCCCAACAGTCATTTGATCTGTGCATCAATCAAAGTATGCCCAGGCATCAGTAACCAGATTTGTTGCAACACAGCCAAACACTCCACAAGAATGCAGCTGCCCTTCCTTTCCAACACAAAAGCTCAAAAGGAGCCCGAATTGCCTGCGGGAGCTGAAAGCCAAACAGTTCAACAGCGCTTAGTTATTGCAATTGTATATTCAACAAGGTGATTATGCACCTGTCCTTCTGCTAATGTTTGCAGTGAGGGTTCAGGAGTACATCTGTGAGCACCTTGGACATTGCCCCACTCCCACTGAATGCCCTCCTCATTCCCACAGCTAGCAATGCTCTTTTAGCAATCTGGAAGAACCCAGATCCTGAGGAAGCCCTCTAGTCCAGAAACAATAAACAGTTACCAGAGCAATACAGGAAAACTGAC